AAGATATCCTCCGTCTACAGCATTCCCTCTGTCTATCAGTGAAGTGACCTAATCAAAAGAGGACATCAAATTAGTTTGGCAAGATTTGTTCTTGACAAATCCGGGTTAGATTCTAGTTATTACTGCATTGTTTTCTAGGTGTTTGCACAATAACTGCTTTATTGTCTGTTTCAGAATTTTCTCTGGAATTGAAGTCAGGCTGACTGGCCTGTAGTTCTCAGGTTCCTCTTTTTTTGACCTTTTTGAAGATAGGGACAAAACCACTAACTGGAAGAAGAAAAGACACCTGTAGTTTGTATCATGAATACTTTGGGCGATGATCTGAGTTTTCTGCATTACACCTACTTGGACTTAATTTGGTGTCAGCTTGAGTGTAATGAAGAAGGAGGTCCTAAAGAGATGTAAAATGAGAGGGTTTGTGTATGTAGAAGAAAGGGTCCGTGAATGCTGTGGAATGTGAGGCTTTTTTTTTCTTTTAAAGAAGTAGAGGGGGAATAGCCCAGGTCTTAGATGTGAACATGTAAGACATAGAGCAAAGATGATTACCGAACTGTTTTTATTTTAATTAGAACTTGTATGTTTATTTAAACATTGCAATAGTCCAGAAATACGCAGTGCTTAAGTTTCAAAGCTACAACTGTATTCCAATGAAACTTTGTTTTCTTAATAAAACAAATATAATTCTTCAACAAGGATCTAGTCTCTTGATACAGCAGGACTATCTAAATCCAGTGTGAATGAAAGAAAGTTAATAGTTGCTACTGTAAGTTAAAGGATGTTCAGCTGCGGACGTGCCTGGAAGTGAAAGATAAGTTTTATGCTGCAAAGAAAAATACTGCATAGGAACCTGGAATGTAAGATCTATGAACCTTGGTAAGCTGGATGTGGTCAAACGGGAGATGGCAAGAATAAACATTGTCATCCTGGGCGTCAGTGAACTAAAATGAACGTGAATGGGCAAATTCAATTCAGATGATTATCATATCTACTATTGTAGGCAAGAATCCCGTTGAGTAGCCTTCATAGTAAACAAAAGAGCAGGAATACAATCTCAAAAATGATAGAATGAATTCAATACAAATCCAAGGCACACCTTTCAACATCATAGTAATCCATATTACAATGCACCAACCACCCATGCCGAGGAGACTGAAATTGACCAATTTTATGAAGACTACAACACCTTCTAGAACTGACACCAAAGAAAGATGTTCTTCTCATTCTAGGGGATTGGAATGCTAAAGTAGGGAGTCAAGAGATAAAAGGAACAACAGGTAAGTTTGGCCTTGGAGTTCAAAGCAAAGCAGAGCAAAGGCTAATAGAGTTTTGTCAAGCTAACAACCTGGACATCAGAAACTCTTTTCCAACACTGGAAAATGAGGACTGGAAAAGATCAGTCCACATTCCAATCCCAAAGAAGGGCAGTGACAAAGAATGCTCCAACTACCGTACAATTGCACTCATTTCATATGCTAGCATGGTTATGTTCAAAATCCTACAAGGCAGGCTTCAGCAGTATGTGGACCGAGATCTCCCAGAAGTACAAGCTGGATTCCGAAGGGGCAGAGGAACTAGAGACCAAATTGCTCACATGCCTTGGATTATGGGGAAAACCAGAGAGTTCCAGACCAGTTTCAGTCAATGAAGCAGAAGTAGAAAAACATCTGCTTCTGCTTAATTGACTACGCAAAAGCCTTTAAACCACAACAAACTATGGTAAGTTCTTAAAGAAAAAGGAGTGCCTGACCACCTTATCTATCTCCTGAGAAATCTATATGTGGGACACGAAGCAACAATTAGAACTGGATATGGAACAACTGATTGGTTCAAAATTGGGAAAGGAGTACGACAAGGCTGTATATTGTCTCCCTGCTTATTTAACTTATATTCAGAATACATCATGTGAAAGGCAGGACTGGATGAATCCAAAGCCGGAATTAAGATTGCCGGAAGGAATATCAACAACCTCCGATATGCAGATGATACCACTCTGATGGCAAAAAGTGAGGAGGAATTAAAGAACCTCTTAATGAAGGTGAAAGAGGAAAGCGCAAAAAACGGTCAGAAGCTCAACATCAAAAAAACTTAAATCACCTCCTGGCAAATGGGCTCCATGATCACTGCAGATGGTGACAGCAGCCATAAAATTAAAAGACACCTGCTTCTTGGGAGGAAAGGGACAACAAACCTAGACAGCATCTTAAAAAGCAGAGACATCATCTTGCCGACAAATGTCCGCATAGTCAAAACGATGTTTTTTCCAGTAGCGATGTATGGGAATATGGAAATTGTTGTAAGCTGCCCAGAGACCTTTGGGTAGAGTGGGCAGCATATAAGTTAAATAGATAAGTAAGTAAGTAAGTAAGTAAGTAAGTAAGTAAGTAAGTAAGTAAGTAAGTAAGTAAGTAAGTAAGTAAGTAAGTAAGTAAGTAAGTAAGTAAGTAAAGTGAGAGCTGGACCATAAAGAAGTCTGACCGCTGTAGAATTGATGCTTTTGAATTGTGGTGCTGGAGGAGACACTTGAGAGCCTCCTGGACTGCAAAGACAACAAACCTATCCATTTTGAAGGAAATCAACCCTGAGTGCTCACTGGAAGGACAGATCGTGATGCTGAGGCTCCAATACTTTGGCCATCTGATGAGAAGAGAAGACTCCCTGAAAAAGACCCTGATGTTGGGAAAGTGTGACGGCAAGAGGAGAAGGGGACGACCGAGGATGAGATAGTTGGACAGTGTCACCGAAGCTACCAACATGAATTTGACCAAACTCTTGGAGGCAGTGGAAGACAGGAGGGCCTGGACTAAAGAGTCGGACACAACTTAATGACTAAACAATGACAAGAAGAACTGTAAGTTAAAAGGTCCTGCTGTCCTACTTGGTGTGGCTGTCGTGCATTCTAAGGAAAAACAAAGCCTATGTTTTATTGCATTGGAAGCAAATCGAAGGTAACTTTTAAGGCTCAGGCTTGTCTATGAGACCTACTATGTACTTCTGAGGTCTAGAGGACCTACCTCAGGAAATACAGGTGGTAGTTTTGCACCCAGAGGGCTCCCTGACCACAATCTTTTTCTCTTTTGGGAGACAGGATTGTTACAGGTTGTTTACTTCATTACCAGGAAAGAAGAATCTCCACAGCTTACTATTTGAAATTCACATAGTACCATTGACAGCTGGAGTTTAGTATGTTACCAGCCTTCCATTCTCTCTGAATTAAATAAGAGAAGTGAGGATATGGCCTAACTAGCTGTTTGTTATGTGCTGTCAAATTGCTTCGCATTTATGGCAAGTCTAATAGAAATTTTGAGGTTTGTGAGATGTTCAAGGAATGGTTAGCTATTGCCACCCCTATGTTTCCTTGGCCAAATGTGGATTTGAACCCAGGATTTCTAAATCCCAGTCGAGCACTTTATCCACCAAACCATGATGCCCTTCAGGAGTAGCTTGACAGTTTGGGCAAATATTTGTAAATTTTCATAAAATTTTTTTGGGATGTCTGTCTTTTAAAAATCTCAATGTTAAAAGATGCTTGTGGTTTGCGTATTATTTGTTCTACGGTACTTTCAGGCGATTTTTAAAAATTCATATTACTGTAGAAGATTTTACAAAGAAATAAAATACTTATTTCAGTCCTATAATGTCTTAGCTGTGTGCTAATCTTTGCTAAAACTCAGTGTTTCCTTTAAAATTGGCAATGTTATTTACATCATAATTTGTTAGTGACAGATTTCAGGGAAGAGTGCCCAGCACACAGAAGGTACTGCTGTGATCTCTACAGCCAATGTGATAGCTGATTGTGATGGCTCTTTTTATTTCATTTTTTTTCCTTCGTCTCATTGCCCTCACCCTTGACCACAATGGGAAGGAACTAACTATGCCACTTGTAGAACTGGCATATTTTAAGGATACATTGATTGAGTGAAAAGGTTTAGAGTTGTGATCTCCAGCAGCACACCCCTGGAATGCCCCATTGTGGCCCATATTACTGGCAGAACAGCTGTGCCAGAAGACACTTCACACCATCACAGGGGGAACTTTCTCTATTACCATATCCAAAATCCCAGAGAGCATTGGATTGCTCCCTAATCTTTTTATAGTACCCTTGTATCCTATGACATGCAGTATCAAATTCAGGTCTGAAGTGACTGTCATGAGGCTTAGTGGAACAAAGAGAGCCCCAAGTGACAGTCTTCTGCCCAAATACAGTCTTTTATAGTTCAGTCATGAAACTCCATATCAGACAACACTCCTACATTCTAGAAAGCCAAAAAGGACAAGCCTCTGGCTTGGATCATAGCTGTCCTCTCATTCCAAGACACTGCCAGTGTTGCTTGAGGAACCTTGGAGATTAATAAACTGGTCTGTTCCTGGGTGTAGAGTCAGCAGTGCTGCTTCAAGTTTGGGTCCCTTCTGCTTGAGTGTCTCACATCTTGATCCACAGTGGTATTCATTGCTTGATTAACCTCCAAATTTATATCCTTCTTCATGACTGTCAGATTGTGGGGAAAACAGCAGTAGAAAATCTAGTGCTTCAGAAAGCTGAGAGTAGCAAATATTGCTGATTGAAAATATTTTTCTGGTTCATTACAAAGAGCAAAAGTGATCTCTTTGTCAGTTACAGCAGGGATACGTAATCTTTGCACTACAGCTCCCATAGTCCTGGATCCTTGTCCGTGCCGGCTGAGGTGTGTGAAAACTGTAGGGCACCAGTTTGCCTACCCATGAGTTTGAGGAATAATAGTTTAATTTTGGGAGATTCTTTTTCTGTTAACTAAGTACTTTTAAGTTGTTGAATATAAGATATCCTTTTAGTATATACTCCACTCTTGTAACATGGGATTTTTACATACAAGGGTACATAATCTGCTTCCAACACATCTTCAAAGACCAACTCTCTCTTCTCCAGTCTAAAACAAAGCTGTGAAGTTATTCTGATTGTACAATTCAAATTCTTGTCATTGTAATGCCATAGATTTAATGCCATGTCTATTTATGTTTTTCAGGTATTTATCTTTCAGATTTGACATATATTGATTCAGCATACCCATCGACAGGAAGTATTCTGGAAAATGAGCAAAGATCAAACTTAATGAATAACATACTTAGAATAATATCAGATTTACAGCAGTCTTGTGAGTATGGTAAGTTGTGTTGTGTACAGCCAGTGATTCATGTTTGATTGTGATGCTTAGATGCTTAGTCATAGCTGTTGTCCTCTTTGCTTAACTACAAGGGAGACTGGGATAGAAGAAAAACAGACAAGAGGAATTTGGTTTCCCAAACAGCAGTCCTTCTCTGTCATTTCACAAGCTTTTTTTTTTTAAAAGACGGTGATACTGGGGCATGGCATACTTCTTGTTGAAGTTAAAAGTCAGAAATCTCCCCAGCTATTTCAGAACTTTTGGACATTCAAAATGCCATTAAATATCAGAATGCTAGTTATTTAATTTAAATTTGCCACTTTATAAATTAACTGATCCTTTTCAGCAACGTATCTGTATCCCTAATAAATCTCATTAGCCCAGTGTTTAAAAATAATTAACAGTCATCAGTAAGATTTGCGTTGCAACAGTGATTACTACTTCTTCCTTTCCTGTTTCAAATGGCACTGAATTTGTGTCAATGAATTTACTTACATTGTAATGAAAGGATATTATTGTTTTTAACATCTCAGATGTTTCTGAGTCGCAGGAATCACTAGCAAATGCAGCCAAGAGTATTGCATGAGAAAGAATGGTTTATTGTAGCTTAACCTTTTGTGGGACAGGCTCCAAAAAAGTAGTGTCATACTCTGTTGATAAGAGCATATGTACATAGCTATAGTGACAGAGAAAATAATAATGGGTGTGACTGTCAAATGTCCATAAATTACACAAGGTGTTCCTAAAAAGGAGAATTATGCAACCAACAAAGATGACTATAGTCCACAATATAGATGAATAAATCTGTTACTCTGTAATCTCATAGACATTTACCTAGGAGTAAGTTCGACTGAACCCGGTGAGGTCCCTGAACATATGTTTGTTTTTACTGCTATGAGCTAACATAGTTACTGGGGCGTTCACCTTTGTGGCACCTTCTTTTTTTGCCCTCACAAAGGCTAACCTCATATTTTCCTCTTGCTGCCACCAATGGATTGCTTCAATCCACAATATAAATGATGTTTGTCAGGACACTTGTGAATTCAAACAGAACTTATTTATTGAAGTGAATCAGATTTAATAATAACAGAAGTTCTTCAGATAATCATTGTACACAAGCAAATCATTAACACTTCTCTCAATACATACTTTTCTCTTACAATATCATTACCACTTTCTCTACCTATTTTCTTAACCAGCCTTATCACTCTGTATCTGTTCCCTCTCTCTCTAACTATACTCTCACTCTGACTCTGATTCCTCTGATTCTGACCCCCGACTCTGATTCAGGCTCTGCCTTTTAATATCTCTTTCAGCATCGCCTCTCGAACACATTAGCATAGTACATGAATAATACATGACTTATTTTGCATAACAAGAGATGAATGCTACATACCCCCCCTTAAATATGTTTGTTTGGGAGGGGAAACATGTTTTTCATCCCAAACAAACATGCATCATTGCATGAAACTCTACTTACCCTCTGGCAACATTCTGCAAGCAAAAACAATAGGTTATATAACAATCACAATATCTTATTACACTAAATATTCCAATAGAATTCAACAATATACTTTACCTTATCATTCATACTTACTACATTTAACATTTCAACTTTACAGAAATATACCATAATCAGGAAACTTTTACATAGATAATTAACCAGTTAATCAATAGTCCATTCCAGTTTATTTTAGAAGTCCTTGCATCATTCTCCACGTTTTGGTCCATCAATATTCAATTTTTCATCACTATTTACAAACAGAACATTTATTATACATAACCAATTTTGTTTATTCCCCCCTATCAGTCATTTGGCTTTCGAGGCAAGGTACCAGCATCCACACTCTGAGTCCCTCTGACACTGTGGTTTACAAAGTCCAAGTCTTGCACGCTCCCGCTGTCATCGGCTTGGCACCGCACCTTTCCATGTCCAACGTTTGATGCATCTGTGAAGATGATGAACTCCTGGTTGTAGTCAGGTGTGCTGAGGACCGGTCGTTAATGCCTCCTTCAGCTGGTCAAATGCCTGTTGGCACTCAGGGGTCCATCTGATGGTCTCTGGCACCTTCTTACGTGTTTTCTTCAGTCAACTAGCAGTAATCAGGCCCTCTAATGTCCACTGGACATCCTCTGCTTACCATCTCTTAGTGAAGCCTGCTTCTCGTTCATGGCCTCTGTGAATACAAACTAATGGGCTAATCTGCGCTCGAGCAGAGCAGTTTCAGAAACATTCACAGCTTTAAGAACTTAGTGCTGGGACCGCCCCTTTAGTTAGGCATCCTTCACTCTCGAAAGACTATGGTAACGTGCTCTGTATGGGGGATGTGGAACAGCATCTAGTGTGGCTGAGAAGGCCAATTCGAGACTGACAATCCCTTCTACACTGAAGACAAATGCAGTCTGTCCCCAGTCCAACTCCCTGATTTTGCTGGTTTTGGGACTGCTTCTTTGCTTCAGCCTGCTGGACAAGAGTCTCTTCCAATTGGGAGAGGCCATGATGCAATGCCTGCCTCTAGACTGAATGCTCAAATGTCAGGGTTTCCCATCTGTTCAGGTCCATTCCTAAGGCCTACAGATTGCACTTGCTGATGTCTTTGTATTGCAGGTGTGGTCTCCCTCTGGGACGATTTCCCTGCACTAATTCTCCATACAGGAGATCTTTTGGAATCCGATCATCAACCATTCTCACGACATGCCCAAGCCAACATAGATGGTGCTGTTTCAGTAATGTATATATGCTAAAAATTCCAGCTCGTTCTAGGACTACTCTATTTGGAGCTTTGTCCTGCCAGGTGATACCAAAAATGCGTCAGAGGCAACACATATGGAAGGTGTTCAGCTTCCTCTCCTGTCATTCACAAAGGGTCCAGGACTCACTACAGTACAGGAGAGTGCTCAGGACACAGGCTCTATAGACCTGGATCTTGGTATGTGCCATCAGCTTCTTATTGATCCATACTCTCTTTGTGAGTCTAGAAAACATGGTAGCTGCTTTCCCAATGCGTTTATCTAGCTCGATATCTAGAGAGAGAGTGTCAGAGATTGTTGAGCCAAGGTACACAAAGTTGTGAACAACCTCCAATTCTTGTGTGGAAATGGTAATAGAGGGAGGTGAGTCTATGCCTTGGCCCATGACTTGTGTTTTCTTCAGGCTGATTAGTAGTCCAAAGTCTTAGCAGGCCTTGCTAAAACGATTAATGAGTTGTTGGAGGTCTTCAGCAGAGTGGGCAACAATGGCTGCATCATCTGCAAAGAGGAAGTCCTGCATCCATTTCAGTTGGACTTTGTCCTCGCTTTCAATCTAGAGAGATTAAAGAGCTTTCCATCTGATCTAGTCCGGAGATAGACACCTTCTGTTGCAGTTCCAAAGGAGTCTTTCAGCATGACAGCAAAAAAAATCCCAAAAAGGGTTGGTGCGAAGACACAGCCCCTTTTCACTCTACTTCGGATGTCAAAGGGATCTGATGTTGAGCCATCAAAAACTATGGTGCCCTTCATTCCCTCATGAAAGGACCTGATGATATTAAAGAGTCGAGGTGGAGATCCAATCTTGGGAAGTATTTTGAAAAGGCCATTCCTGCTAACCAAATCAAAGGCCTTTGTGAGATTTATGAAGGCCACAAAGAGTGGCTGTTACTGTTCCAGACATTTCTCCTGCAACTGTCTAAGGGAGAATACCATGTCAGTGGTGGATTTATTAGCTCAATATCCACACTGTGATTCTGAATAGACTCTTGTCTGCAAGCACCTTCTGTTGCTTCTAGTCTCTTCTTATAATTAATATAAGTTTTTTTCATTTACCAGCACAGGCAAGCAGCTTCCCTACAATGCTGAAAAGAGAGTTATTGCAGTCGCCCCGTCTCCTTTGTCAGCTTCGCGCTGTAATAATGCGCAGAGTTACCTGATTGAAGACACACACACACTCTTCTTCTATAATCAGACACGTGTATTATACAAATATATACAAATATCCAAACTGGCAGCACTTCGGCGTAGCAGGCAATCAACAGACAAACTGGCATCGAGGATATGAGCAAGTGAAAGAAGAAGATACATTCATGTTCACTCTGTTCACTTATATACAGTTACATAGCTTCTTCTGTCCAATCACAGGATGCATTACATCATCTTCTCCATGTGGCTGTCACCTCTTCTCCAGACATTGCATCATCTCTTCCTCTGTCACAGTGACTCAGCAGTCACACAGCTGTTCATTATGGCAGCTCATTAATGTTCCCTTTAATACATGTTCAGGCCTATAAAATTACAATACCTTGACACTCCTTCTAATTTTATACCTGAACAAAACACAATCCCATCTCTTCAATTATTTCACCATGCTTTTGAGCATTCAAAGGTTTAGTTAAAATATCTGCTAAATTTTCCTCTGTCTTGCAATACTCCAATTCGATTAATTTTTCTTTTATCGCTTCCCTTACATTGTGGTATTTAATATCCACATGCTTACTTCTGTTTTTTATTTTTTCTGTTGCAGCCATATGTATGCATGTAGTGTTATCCTCCATAACTTTTATTGCACCATTTGTTTCAATCTTTAAATCTTTTACTAATTGTTTGTACCATGTCAATTCTGAACATAAGTCTGACATGGTGGCAAATTCAGCTTGTGCAGTTGAAGTGGCTACAGAATTTTGTTTTCTGGATTTCCATCCAACCAGATTATGTCCTAACATTATTACAAATCCAGACATTGATTTTCTATCAATTTCATCATTGGCCCAATCGCTATCGACAAAAGCAGTTAGTCTTAATTCTTCTGATGGTTTTAATACCAAATGGTAATTACATGTTCCTTTCAGATATCTAAGAGTTCTTTTCACCCCTTGCCAATGTTTTACACTTGGTCTTGATACATGTCTACTTAGAATATTCACAGATGCCGCTATGTCTGGACTTTTCCAGTTTGCTAAATACATTAGACTTCCAGTTGCTGAATGATATAATTCCTGATTCTCAAAATCTTTACTATTTTCATC